ATGTTCCATCTCTAACAAGAGTGGTTTCTGTTTAATAGCCATCTTGGGGACAACCAATATCTTATTGAAGTACAGTATCGGGTTCCCAAGGAAAAAATTCAAGAGAGCATTCCCTACAAATATGCAGTTTGCAAAAAGGAGTATGGCTTTATCTATGAGACCATCATCCGGAAAGAGAAAAATGACCTCATCAACAGGTGCCTAACCATCAATCCAGAGCTTTTAACAGCAGAAGGTATTTTGAATTTTATTGACGCAAATGTTCACATATTGGTTTACTACATTTGCACAACAGCACAGTGTGCTATCAATCGAAAAATCTAGTAAATGAAAAAATACCATGTTTGGTATGTTACCCTCTTTCATCCTCATCCCTGCCAATCACTACTTGAAAAAGTAATCAGTGTAGTATTCCTTGATAGTTTGTCATCTACAGGGAAGATGCATTTTTGTTCATCAAATGGACAGTTTGATAAATTTAGAGCAGCAATTAAAAATAAAAATGAATATACCACTCCACTAGCTCAGTTTATACACTGGCCTGGTCCCGGACAGGGGGATGGGGGTCATATTTTGTTAGACCTGTCATCGATTTGGCAGTGATTTTTCAGACGTGTTTTTAGCTGAGGTATCATGTTATCTCCAGTAAACACGAACTCTATATAAGAGGTGTTCACAATTGAGTTACTGAAATGTTCTTTTGGTTTGTTTTTTTGTTTGGTTTTCTTTTAAAGGTGAGTGGCACCAATATGATGATATGATCCATCCCAAACCAAAGAGTAATTGGCTTTGGAATTCTACAGAAAAAACTGTGATAGAAGGGAGAAACTTTGCTGGCAGGGAAATGTTACAAATAATCTTTGATCATCTCAAAACTTGGAATGAACAGAAAGTGGGAGAATTCTTTTCCCTACTGGAGCAGTTCTTTTATACATACAGTGGTCCTCTGCTTCATGATGGTAGAGAAAGACGATGGGGATTACCATATGATTCAAATCAGGTAAACAAATTTTATACTACAACAGGTAGCATTCCAAGATTCAATAATGCAAAAATTAAAAGTATTGAATAGTGTTTTCCATACTCCACTGTGTATTGGCATTAGTCCTAACATTTCTCCTTTGCTTTTTCCAGGTGAAATACCTTCTTAAACATTTTCTGGAGAAACACTTCAGTTTTGATGCTATAAAGAAGACAGCAAGAATACCACCTCTCCATGCGGGGATTATTGGTTTGCTTGTTTACAACAAGTATCTGAAGGACAGCATGACAAATCAACTTTCTAGTTTATGCAATCTTCTTTGCCTGCCTAAAATGCCAAAGCATCATTTTCTTTCTTTCTGGAAAGACTTTGTAAAAGCTTTGCCATATGAAAACAGGTAACTTAAATATAATTTTATTTTTCTTATAAAATTAAAGGCGAAATTATAATAGATAAAAGATTCTAAAAAATTTTTTTCATAGACAATAGTTACAAAGTAGTATGGTATCATCAATCTTGATTCTCATTGTCCATATCTGATCAAATATTTGTGTAAAAATGTTGTGAGTTTTCCAGTGTAGTTTGGCATACTAGCATGTGAATTTGTCAATGACTTGTCTGACCACTGACATATTTTATTTATATAAAAGATTGGTTGCAGATGCAGTTGAGACCCTTTGCCATACCGCTATGACATGCCGCATTGAGAAGTGGGTGTTGGTCATCCCTTTGGTTCATCTACTGAGAGGAGAAAGCAAACCATATGAGCCAGTCCCACCTGTCTTGAATCCACAGTTTGACTCCTGGACAGGCTTGAAGAGAATCACAAGAATAGATTCATATGGTGCTAGTCATATGTATGCACTTATCTTTTATAAATACACCAAAATTCAGTTTAATTCATCTGCCCCCAATAATCAGCTCTCATTTTTAATTAGGAATCTGATCCAGATCATGGAAGAACATGACTACCTGATAGACATTGATCATCTTCTTGTGCACTCTTGGATGTCTCTGATGGGAGTTGGTTACCTAATGAAGGACAAATTGATTATGCGTGTTGAACTTCGAGACATTCTTCAATATTTGCAGTTCATTGTCAGTTCTGGCAACCGTGAACACATGTGCATGGTATGTATTCTTAACAGTGGTATTTTGTTAGGACAGAGTGTCAAATATTAAAATGAAAAGTATTTATTTATACAATAATGTTAAATAGAGATTGATTGAGATTAATGTTAGTTTTATTTTGGTCCAGTTAATTATCGTTAATCATCTGCTGCACAAATTAACTTTATTTGGTTGTTGTTTTCAGTAACAATCAAGAAAACTTTAACTCATGGGTATTCTTAATGTGAATGGACTGATACTTATATCCCACTTTTCTACTCTCCTGGAGCACTCAAAGTGCTTTACACAACATGCAGATCCACACAAGTACTTTCTTCTATGCTTATAAGTGCTTTCTAAATAACATTCACACTCTAATGGATGCATCAGCGAACAACTTGGGGTTAGTATCTTGCCCAAGGGTATTTTGCATGCATACAGGGGGAGCTTGAATCACAAACCTTCTGATCAGTAGATGACCTGCACTACCTCCTAAGCTACAGACACCCCAAATGTAGGATGATGTGGAGGTAAGCATCAACGACACAGCTCTCAGTTCTCACTCCTTCTTTATTCGTCTCCAACATCAACTGCGCAT